GTTAATTAGCTAAAAGCAGTGGAATGTTGGAATTGATACCGTATCTCAACATTATTAAGAACGATAGGCAGAACTATATCTCGCTTGTAGCCAGTTTCCATTTATTAAAGTGTAACACAATCCTAAACCTCTTAGCTTGATGGTTAGATTCTATGATATCTAATATAATTTGGACAGCTTACAGAACTACACAATAGGAAACTGGTTACTGCCTGGCAATATTACTGACTGGTACATTGAGTGATTCACAGGGTGTTACAGATATGCCTTAGTAATCAGTGCCAAGAAACACGTAACGTGTTTGAAGCAGACGTTCCTACCAATTGGTTGCAACAAAATAACATCTATCGAAGTGAACCGTGTTGATAAGTCTTCAAGCCTGATAATCATCTCGTAAACTAGTGAAGAGAATTTAGTCGAAACTTAAGATTAGACAACTGGTAGTCTTCAGTTTCACTACACTCATGAAGAGTAATCTTATCAACTTTATTAAGCTACATGGAATTGATTACCACTAGTCAATTTCAATATATTTGGCAACTGCTTCAACACTACGGAATACCACAAACCTTTATCAATCTCATTCCACAACTATATGAAGACTCCATATGACAAGTAATTCACAATGAGAAGCTCATTAATGCTTTCGAAGTGAAGCTGGAAGTAAAACAAGGCTGTCTATTATCACCCATGATATTCCTGATTGTGGTCGACTGGATCATGCAACAGACAACTGTGAGGAGCGAGAAGAGGAAGATATTGTGGATGGAGGAAAACGTCCTAAAAAAATTGGATTTCGCCGGTGATGACTTGTGTCTGTCACACAAACGTGAAGACCTACAGGTGGAAACTAACACGTTGACAGAAGAGGTGAGGCAGCTAAGACGGGACTCCAAGTGAACGTAGAGTAGAAAGAGGTGATGATGATGCCCAACCAACGCCATCAACAACAACAAAAACAAGAAGCTCCAGTCACCATCAAAGAGAGAAACATAAAGGAAGTAACCTCTTACACCTACTAACTAGGCAGCATCATGTCAAATACAGGCAACGGCGGCATAGACGAGGACGTCAAAGTCAGCAAGGATCGGAAAGACAACAAGAGAGGCGTTCACTTATCTGAAACTAATGTGGAGATCTACTGCACTCAGCATAAAAAATAAGATCCAGAATTTCAACACCAATGTCAAGTCTGTGCTTTTTTGTGATGGATCAGAGACTTGGTGCGTTACAAAAGGGATTTCCAACAAACTACAGGTATTCGTCAACAACTGACACCTATGCTGGCTAGTTACTGAAGCTCAGATGGCCAGAATAATAAGAATAAGCAGCAGGGAACTCTGGCTGGCTGCCTGGCTGGCAACGAATCAACCAAGAACCTTTCACTCAACAAATATGCAATGGAAGGAAGTGGAGATGGATTGAGCATACACTGAGAAGACCATTCGGAGACATCACGCATCAGGCCAGGCTAGGTTGTCAAGTAGATCTCAGATGGGAAATGTCGAGTTGGTGGTCCGAGGGGATGGTAACATGGAGGAGATTGTGTGAGGAGGAAATGACAGCTTGTTGGCAGTGGTGGAGCCAGGTTGAAAAGATTGCAGAGAAGAGAGTGGAATGGAGACGTGCTACTGAATCCCTATATTCCACTAGGAACCCAATTGACAAATAATATATAATAATTATTTCACTATTTCTTTCTTTTCCGGTTACTTAATATCACTGAAAAAGTTTCCTATCTCTACGATGTAATTTTTGTGTTAAATTTAGGTCTTTTTCCAGGGAAAAAAATGGTGTCCTTTTTAATTCTATACAAAACAACACGATATTTGTTTTAATGAATTAAAGTTCAAGGTCATCTAGTCTGTTTATTTATCCATTTAAATAGAATAAACAGTTCAGTTTTTTTTTTCTCTCTCGAATATGATGAAACATTGAACTAGAATGATATTCAACTTTCGGAATAAAAAAGGCACAGTAATACTAATCATGTACAAAATAGACTTTAAAAGGTTTTTATTTTACTCATCAATCAACTTTTGTTGTCATTTCAAAGTTTAGAATGAATGTAAACAGCAATTTTTTTTTTCTACAGGAAAAAAAGATCACTTTCCTAAAAAGATTTTCGTTGTTACAAAAAAAAATTCTGTTTCAATGTTTATCAATCAAAAAGTCAGTCATTAGGAATGTTCTGAATAATCTGGAGACTTTTACTGATGTAACTAAGAATATAACATAGTGATATTTACATTATTATTATTATTATTATTATTATTATTACCATTCTATTTAAATATGAAAGTGAATCGATTTCTAATTGGCGCCATGTCAAATTTTATAGACAGAAAAATAAACAATGAAATGATCAAATCTTACTGAATAGTAAATAAGTTTGTGAAAGTACTTGATTTCCTGTAAAACATACAAGTCGATGTGCCGATTATATGCAGACAGTGAAATGTTTAACCTATTTTTTAGTTCATGTAGCCTGTTTCCTCAGTTGTAGACTATATGTAACAGCTATTTGAGTGACTAAACACTCTGAAGTATCTTGGATGTCATCTTTCACTTGTACTACAAAATTGGTTATAAACTTGATAAAAATCCTACATATGTCAGGTGTACCTTTTAAGAACATACTTCGCACTTGATTCTGTCTCAAAAATCTCTTCTACAGGACAAGGTACAAAGGAATAATACTGAATCCCGAATAATCAATTGGCTGTATTCCCATTTCTCTGAAAGGAAATAATATAATATTCAAAGAGGGAAGCACTCCATCTCATTGATTACTGTGACTCGTGTTCCCTAAGGTGCTGTTCTTCCCCCCTGTCTTTTCTTTTTCTACATGCATTAATAAGCATCTTCAGCCAGTATCAATTTCATCAAACAGGTTGATAACCTAACAGTTTCCATGCCTATCTCCTTTTCTAGAAGGTTGCTCTCCACCGAATGATTTTCTGCTTACGGTAGGACGGTGGTCCTCCCTAAATGGTCTTGTACTTAGTTATTCAAAATGTCGGACTATAAACTTCAGTTTCAGAAGCGAAAATAACCAGGGTAGACTGCTAAGTTCTCATCATTCCTGTTCTATTGATAGTTGTACTGTAGAGAATGTTACGAGTGTGATTTATCTCGGAGTGTATTTCTTTTCGAACCTCTCCTAGTTCTCCAATATCTTACTAATTTCCACAAGAATCTTTCACCTAACTTACTGTATTGGGAATCTCGGACGATCTGATATGTCTCAGCCTCTCTACTTGTGTTTTATAAACTCCTGCATCATGCCTGTTCTCCTTCATTGTTCTCCTTTGTCCTTTCCCCGTTCATTTAAAAAACACTATGCTATATTGCGTAGAACTTTGAAGATTGTCAGCAGAACTAGTAGTGTACCTATAAACCCCCTTGTTAAGACACTTGTAGACAAACATCCTAACTCATATAAACATCTAGCAGGAGTTATTTTATCAGATGACCAGCAAACTCTTCACTCAAATCCCTCCCTGTGTCGGTCATCTGGAGAGACAAGGAGCAAGTACATAAGACTTGATGCACCTACTACAAAATATAAACTTTATAATACTGTACGTAGTTAACTCGTCCATTGTGCTATGACGAAAGCATTAGAAGTCAACTAATTGGTGACGAGCACATTGGTTTTCATGCTTTATCAATCTGATTACAAATGTGGTTGTCTACCTAAATTATTATTGGTATTATTACTTATCATATGGATTCCTAGTGGAATATAGGGATTCAGTAACACGTCTCCAGTACACTCTCTTCTCTGCAATCTTTTCAATCTGGTTCCACCACTGCCAACAAGCTCTCATTTCCTCCCCACAAGATCTTCTCTATATCACTCTCACCTCAGACGCCCAACTCGTCGTTTCACATCTGGCTTCCACTGGACAACCTAGACTGGACTGGTGCGTGATGTCCCCAAATGGTCTTGTGACTGCATGCCCAATCCATCTCCACTTCCTTACATTGCATATTTGTTCAGCAATAGGTTCTTGGTTGGTTCTTTGCCCAGCCTGAGTTCCTTGTTGCTCATTCTTATTATTCTGGCCATCTGATCTCATCTCCGGTAAGGAGTCAGAGTAGGTGGCAGTTGTTGAAGATGCGTGTGTGTAGTTTGTTGGAAATGCTTTTCGTAACGCGCCAAGTCTCTCAACCATCACACAGAAGCACTGACTTGACTGTTATTGGTGTTGAAAATCCGGATGTTGTTCCATATGCTGAGTGCAGTGCAGAAGATCTCCACATTGGTCTCAAGTTAATGAATGCCTGTCTTGCTTTTTCGATCCTGTCTGGTTTTAACGTCCCCGTCTGTACCGCCTGTAGTTGAAACAGTGGTGTCTAGATAGGTGAAGGGGGCTACTTCCTTTAATTTTCTCTTGTTGACGGTGATTGGAGCTTATTGTTGTTGATGCTGGTTATGATATTGCTTGGGTAGTCTGCCTAAATTAGGTATATACTTTCAAGAGAGTTGTACATGGAGTGAATATTCTTATCCTCTTTATGTAATTCATGCTTATTTCATTTTGTTATGTATGCATATACACTGTCTGTATCCAAGTGATGCTATATGATATGCTGAAAATTCTATAGAGTATCCCTGAAATTGCTTTCATAATAAGGCTATTATTATTATTATTATTATTATTATTATTATTATAACATCGTAAATGTATCTCTTCTGAGGATCTACAGCTTACCATGCGTCCTATGTATGCATTTGACATACCTCTGGAATTTTCAGTAATTTCCAGGCTAATTAGATAGCCTAACATCATAACACAAAAAATATGACAACTATTACTTCGATTCTGATGTTTTTGATACGCTTAGAGCATATGATTTATCAGACGGCTCCACTCAACTGTGATTCCATAAGTATACTTCTTCATTGACTGATGACACAATTAAGCTTAAAGTTTATTCAACTTCTCTTTACTAATGCTATAATCTATCAATCTCTTCTCTTTTTTATATAGTATGAATTAGGTCCTTCACCTTGGACTAGAAAATGGCCAAAAATGGCTCGACCAGACTGTCATTTTTCTGCTCCAGAATGCTTAACTCTTACAACTTACAGTTTAAATCCATTCGCTGGACTACGTACCAAAACATCTTCAGATTTGCATAATTTTACAAACCGTAACAGTCCAGATCATATATCATCAAAGTCAATCAAATCTCTTATTGCATCAGCATCCGATGATTATCCTGGACCATGGTCAGATATGTTCTCATTGGGTTTAATAATTTGTTCATTGTACAATACTGGTAGTCCAGCTGAAGGGTCTGTTCAATGGACACAGAACATACGAAAAATGGGAGCTGATTCCAAAGCTTATCCAAATGCAGAATCAATACTTCATTGTAAAGAAAATATGACTCAAGAGAATAGCTCAGAATTTATTCATGCAATGCATCTAAGTCAAAGTTCAGATGTAAGTAACATTCACTGGTTATCATAATTCTATTCATTAAAATATTATTATTATTAGTCCCTTGGGTTCCTAGTGGAACATACGGCTTCAGTAGCATGTCTCCAGTGACCTCTCTTCTCTGAGATCTTTTCAACCTGGCTCCACGTCAGCTCAGAAGCTCTCATTTCCTCCTCGCACAATCTCCTTCATGTCGCCCTCGACAAAGATGCCCAACTCGTCGCTTCCCATGGGGATTCCACTCGAGTACCTGGCCTGATGCCTGATGTCCCCAGTCGGCCTTCTCAGTGTATGCCCAATCCATCTCCACTTCCTTCCACTGCATATTTGTTCAGCATTAGCTTCTCCGCTGGTTCGTCACCAGCCTGAGTTCCTTGTTACTTATTCTTTCCGGCCATATGATCTTCAGTATCGAGCCAGTGTAGGTGGCAGTTGTTGATGAATTTGTGTAGTTTACTGGAAATCCCTTTCGTAACGCGCCAACTCTCTCAACCATACAGTAGCACTGAATTCACTGACATTGGTGTTGAAAATCCGGATCTTGTTCTTTATGCCGACTGCAGAAGATCTCCACACTGGTTTCAAGCTAATCAACGCCTGTCTTGCTTTTCCGATCCTGGCTGACTTTGACGTCCTCGTCCGTCCCGCCTGTAGTTGAAACAGTGCTGCCTAGATAAGTGAAGGAGGTTACTTCCTTTAAGTTTCTCCCGTTGACGGTGATTGGAGTTTGTTGTTGTTGTTGTTGGTTGGGTATCTTCATCACCTCCGTCTTCTCTATATTCACTTGAAGTCCCGTTTTCGCTGCCCTGCCTCCTCTGCCAACTTGTTAGTTTTTGCCTGTAGATCTTCAAGTCTGTGTGACATCACACACAAGTCATTGGTGGCGAAATCTAAATCATCTTCTGGGATCTTTTCCCCCATCCAGCCAGCGTATGTCCATCTTCTCGTTCCCCACTGTTTGTTGTATGATCCAGTTCAGTCGACCACAATGGGGAATATCATGGGTGATAGTAGGTGGCAGCCTTGTCTTACTCCAGTCTTCACTTTACTTCGAAGGCATCACTGAGCTTTCCATTGTGAATTACTTGTCATGTGGCGTCTTCATATAGTTGTTGTTGTTATTGGATGATAACAATGAAAAAATTGATATAGTTCATGAACTATGGGTTTCGTTAGAGCTGTCTCTGTATAAGTCTATACCAACTTGAACAATGCAAGAATAAAGACATTTGAAGAATAAAAATGAGCTCACTTTATTTGATGGCCTTTCACTAGTTGCAAACAGCTTTAGACGCTCAGAGATAAATGAAGATTTGGATTGGATGATTAACAATAAGCTAGTGAGTGAGTCAAGGAGACACACGAATAATTATTACAAATCTTACTTAAAATCAGTTGCAATTTATATGTAAGATAGAAAATTCCACAGCTGTAGAGTGTCATGGAGGACAACAAACGAAAGCTAATGGGTTACGTAATCATGTAAAGAACTGGAAAATCGTTAAGTGATTAATATTCAGTAGGTAATTGAAGAAGCGATGATACAATCAAAAGAAAAAGGAAGATATTGTACATACATATGCAAAGATTGTATACAGTTACTAAGGTATAGAAAGGTTGATTACAGTCTCTTTCTGGATATATAGGTCAGGTTGAAAATGTTTGATAGAAAGAGCTTCCAGAAACTGTATTTAAGATGGTGTTGTTTGTTAGTTGACTATCCTGAAAGATTGAGAAGCATCTAGATTCGATGTCCTGTCTCCATCAGATGCCTAGCGATTTCGCTCTTAACAACCTTGCTACCATTCAGATACAGATTTCTCGGAATATATTCATAAAATTGAGTAGATACTCTTTTTTCAGTCCATAAAAACAGATGTACTGATCTACGTACTTAGAAAGAAGCCTGTAATTAACCTTTCTTTGCCTTGGTAACTGTATATCATGTTTTGCACAAGTATGAATACAGTTTTCCCTTTTCTTTTAATTGCATCATCTCTTCATTAATTACTAACTGGTTGTTAATCACTTAAAGTTTTTTTCAGTTCTTCATGTAATCACCTATCCTATTAGCTATTAAACATTCCCTTCTTTTACACTGATTTTCGTTTGTTGTTCCCCCCCCCCCCACTGTATAGCTATCGAATTTTTTATCTTATCAAATATAAATTGCCATATTGATTTCGAATAAGAGTTGTAATTATTATTCATGTGTTTCCTTGACAAATTCATCACCTTGTTGTTATTCATGGATATCAAATCTTCACTTATTACTACTACACATTTAAAATATGTTATGTCATTATTACTACTACTAATACTTTATTTCACATGTAGGTTATTTGTAGTTGATGAAAGTCTATTAAATAAACTGAGATAAGTTTATTCTACAAACGTTTTTGTTCTTATATGGTTCACATGTGTCAATGGAACTTAATGCATGACATTTCTATACAAACTGTCGATATATTCCTGACATGTCAATATTTCCCACTGAGTGAAATGAAAATTCAGACCAGTACACGATTCAAACCACAGATCACTGGATGTTAACTTCAGTGCTCTATAATAATAATGATGATAATAATAATAACAGCTTTATTCCAAACAATCTCTATGATAGTATGGAATTCTCAGCATGTAATTTTTCAACAAATTCACTCCCAGAACATGAATTTCAGGCGAAATGGTTATTGCATCGGTATAATGTTAATAATAACAGTATTCAAGGGAATAATATGAAATAGGCCAACTGGTTCTGCATGGGCATCTGGTCCATATTGAAGAGTCAATAAAAATCTGCAACTCAATCTAAGAACTTGACAGATAGAAATATGATGTACTTTTATGCACCAAAAAGTCCATTTTTATATAACGTAACATTTTTACCTCTGCCTTTGTTATTAACTCGAGAAGGGGAGACTTGAAAAACAGTTTATTAATGTAGAAGTAGTATTCATCATGCACTGACTGGCGTCAGTTGGGGAACCATTGAAAACCTGGGAGCACTGGACAGTTGTCTCGTCCTAGTATGGGACTCCTCAGTAGTGTGCACCCACGACCCGACTAGGGGTCGAACCCAGGACCTTCAGGTTTCATGGTGAACACGTCAACCATTCAGTCGCTGGGTCGGTTTCCACTGGTTCACAGTTTCCAACATCTGTCAATTCACGACATAGCACGACTGTCACCCAAGGTTCAGTTAGCTCTATAGTGCTCACTAGTGACTTGCTTCCAGATGGATGTTTGTAAGTTCTAATGAGAAGCCGTGACTTGTGCGGTCAATCAGTCGGAAGTGAAGTGGATGCTAACTGAAGACCTTAGGTGACAGTCGTGTTATGTCGTGAATTGACAGATGTTGGAAATTGTGAACCACTGGAAACCGACCCACTGGCTGAATGGTTGACGTGTTCGCCATGAAACCTGGAGGTCCTGGGTTCGACCCCTAGTCGGCTCGTGGGTGCGTACTGCTGAGAAGTCCCATACTAGGACAAAACAACTGTCCAGTGCTCCCGGATTTTCAGTGGTTCCCCAACTGATGTCAGTCAGTCCATGATGAATACTACTTGTAAATTAAAAATCCGCATTCATCTCAAAAATAAATTAGTTTAATAATGTATCAGAGTACATGATACATTCAAACGACATATTGAAATGATTAAAACAAATTGAAAGGAAATAATTTGATGAAAACTGTTCAATGGATAAATTTGGTAGCTCAAGGTTCAAGCAGACAGCCGACGGAATGCAATCGACAAATTAATATGAGTGTTCTTTACAATCCTCCAACCTAGATTGTTCTTATAGATGGTTAGTAGCTGGCATCGAAATCCAAGACGCACGTTTTTGATCCGATATGCGTCCTACCTAGTCAGTGATGGTGTCGCCATTGAAACTACAACCCATTATCCATTGCTTCATACGAGTCGTGAATTCCACTGCTTGCTCGTATTCACTCTCAATATTGAATTTAAGCCATTGGGTATATCAAGGCATCTACACATGTAGCTGTTATTTCGATCGAAACCAATAAACAACGGAAAAAAACAACCAATATTTTTGCAGGAATCGAAGGAATAATGATAATAATACTAATGATTAATGATAAAGGTACTTTTGATAACGCTTGCAGTATGAATGATAACCAAATGGATTATGTAATATATGGAATGGTTCATAGAAGGTTTATAACTCAGAAGGGAGCGTTAAATTGATGAAAACTGTAGACCAGTAAAGTTTTATGTAATAAGACTAGAAAGGTTGGTAAAATGCAACCAATATTATTTTTTACGTGTTTTTGAGACGATTCAGTGAAATAACACTGGAAGCTATTCAAGCAAGAGTAAAATTTGGAATAAATCATGTGGAATAAAATTGTGTTCTACCTTCTCTTCATATATATTATTAACAACTGCCTAGGCGAGTCATTAGTGTCTGCCAGTATATTTGTTGAATGTCTAATACATGGTTACTGCTGACCGGAGAAGGATACGAATAGATGTACAAAGCTTTTGAAATGACCCAATCTTTGTAAGAAAGAAAGCCGTTTTGTAAGACGTTTGCGTTTTTCAATGATACTTTATAACTTGAATAAAAGGTATGAGCCTTGATGGGAGAGCTTTTTTCAAGTTTTCCCACATCATAGGAATGTTTTCATGGTTTCTGGCAACTCCGACTGTGTTCGGCAAGGAATCTACCAACTGATCTACAAATCCTGACCGTTGAATAGATTTTTATTTTAATTCAGTCGCCTAGAGTTGTACTAAAATGAAGTGAAACAGATATTTAGTTAACAGTTGGACTTCATAAATCAGTTGGTAGGAGACCAGGGTCAGAAATACGATGGTCTCTGGTTCTAATCCCGGTCTTCACTAAAACTTCACTTCACCTTCAAAATATCACCGAATATATTCTTAGCATGAACAGAATTCATGTGCCACATTGTTGATTCTAGGACCAGGAGTGTGTCACTTTGATTCAGAAATGAACAAACATATCCTCGTCCTAAGAAAAAGGTCAGGAGTAAATACGCTTACTAAGTTAAAAACTCATTCACACTCTGAACATATCTGTTGCCTAGTTAGATGTTTAAGCTTGAGATGAATTTATTTATCACCCTTCTTCTTTTTTATCTACTCCTTTCCATAAAGATTCCTGTAGCATTCAAATCATCTGTTTGTCGTATGCCACTAGAATTAGTTGAACCTGTTGAAAAATTACTGTCCAGAAATTTACAGAAACGACCTAGTTCTCAATTGTTTGCACTGGTAAGTGTCAATGAAGTACTCTTATATTTCTCAATATCTTTAGCTTAACTATAACTAGTACAATTGAATGAATGTTTGTCTAAGAATGGATTAAATGCTGAAATGTTGAAGTGATAGAAAAAATTTAAAGCATAATGTAGTGAGAACACAATGAGAAGAACATCAACCCAACATCCCTAAAGTGTTGAACACTAACCGTTGTGAAATAAGCTCTCAGACTATTATATATTATTATTATTATTATTTGTCCTTTGGGTTCCTGATGAACATAGGGATTCAGTAGCACGTCTCCAGTACACTCTTTTCTCTGCAAGTTTTTGAACCTGCTTCCACGACTTCCAGCAAGATCTCATCTCCTCTGCATACCATCTCCTCCATGTCACCCTCGATAAAGATGCCCAACTCGGTGCTTCCCACCTGGGTTCCATTCGACAACCTGGCCCAGTGCGTGACGTCCGCAGTCGGTCTTCTCAGTGCATGCCCAATCCATCTCCACTTCCACACTCTTCTGCATATTTGCTGAGTGATAGGTTCTTGGTTGGTTCGTTCCCACAGTTCCTTGTTGCTTATTCTTTCCAGCCATCTTCAGTGTCAGTATCAAGCCAGGGTATGCAGTTGTTGATGAATGTCTGTAGTTTATTGGAGGTGGTTTCCGTGACGCGTCAAGTCCCTCAACCATACAGTAGCACTGACTTCACTGACATTGGTGTTGAAAATCCGGATGTTGTTCTTTATGCCGACTGCAGGAGATCTCCACACTGGTTTCAGGCTAATCAACGCCTGTCAAGCTGTCTTCCTGATCCTGACTGTCTTTGACATCCTCATCAGTGCTGCCTGTAGTTGAAGCAGTGCTGCCTAGGAAGGTGGGTGAAAGAGACTACTTCCCTTGAGTTTCTCCCATTGATGGTGATTGGTGCTTGTTATTGTTGTTGATGGTGTAGTTGGTTGGGTATCTTCATCACCTCTGTCTTCTCTATATTCACTTGAAGTCCCATCTTCCTTCGCTGCCTCACCTCACCTCTTCTGTCAACTTGTTAGTTTACATCTGGAGATCTTCAAGTTTGTGTGACATCACACACAAGTCATCGGTGGCGAAATCCAAATCTTCTAGGATCTTTTACCCGGTCCAACCAACGTATGTCCGTCTTCTCACTCCTCACAGTTGTCTCTTGCATGATCCAATGCAGTCGACCACAATGGGGAATATCATGGGTGATAGTAGGTGGCAGCCATGTCTTACTTCCGTCTTCACTTTACTTCGAAGGCATCACTGAGCTTTCCATAGTGAATTACTTGTCATGTGGCATCTTCATTTAGCTGGTGAATGAGATTGATAAAGGATTGTGGTATTCCGTAGTGTTGAAGCAACTGCCAAATTACTTCTTGATCGACGCTGTCAAAGGCCTTTTCAAAGTCGATGAATTTGAGTTACAGTTGAGTTCTGTGCTCTGTTCTATAATGATGCGAAGCGTTGCAGTTTGATCCGCATATGATGTGTACTTCTTGAATCTAGCCAGCTTTTTCTGGTCGTAGTTTTGAATCCAGCGCATCTTTTAGTCTCTCCAACTCAAACTATTAACTAACTAATATTCACTTCGTCATATACAGGGATTCATTGATTGTTGAGTATATGTCTTCCAGGAATAAAGTCGATTGAAGGATTGTTGTGATAATTGAAATAGTCGCCAACTGTTTCTTCCTAGAATGAAGACCTCTGTAAAGTGCTCACCAATCACTCAACGTCAAATCGTCTTAAACTATCAGATCTCGTAGCAACCAGGTTAGCACTCAGCTGCTGCTTTGAAATCTAATTTCTCCCTACCACCGTCAGTTTGTGACAAAACTCATCGGTGAAATCAAATGTTGATTGCGCTTAGCCTCAAAATGATTCATATGAGATATGAATACCAATAATTCAGACAAAATAACAATAAACCAATATGTTAGGATAATGAAATGTAAATGTAATCTCAACTCAAATTAAACTCCCGACGTAGTCAAAGGTAATAAAACAGGAAAAATAAAAATCAGTTTTGTCAGACACGGTGTCACCATTAGCCAGAAGGCAAATATGTCCATTTAATCAAAATATTTATTATAATTTATGTCTCAGATTAGCTTCACTCTAGCGCTTGTCTGTCAACAACAGGTTGTGAGGACACTAAATATATTAAGTTAGCTAGTTAGTGGGTCATTTAGTTTGTTAGTAATTCAGTAGTTTAGAAAGTTATTTAGTCAGTTTATCAGTCAGTTAGCTATTTAGTTACTCATTTAGTTAGTTAGTCAATTAGATAGATAGTCATTTAGTTGCCTAGTTAGCTAGTTAATTAGTTAGTCAGTTACTGAGTTAATGAAGTAAGTCGGTCGGTCGGTCGGTCGGTCGGTAGGTAGGTAGGTAGGTAGGTAGGTAGGTAGGTAGGTAGGTAGGTAGGTAGGTAGGTAGGTAGGTAGGTAGGTAGGTAGGTAGGTAGGTAGGTAGGTAGGTAGGTAGGTAGGTAGGTAGGTAGGTAGGTAGGTAGGTAGGTAGGTAGGTAGGTAGGTAGGTAGGTAGGTAGGTAGGTAGGTAGGTAGGTAGGTAGGTAGGTAGGTAGGTAGGTAGGTAGGTAGGTAGGTAGGTAGGTAGGTAGGTAGGTAGGTAGGTAGGTAGGTAGGTAGGTAGGTAGGTAGGTAGGTAGGTAGGTAGGTAGGTAGGTAGGTAGGTAGGTAGGTAGGTAGGTAGGTAGGTAGGTAGGTAGGTAGGTAGGTAGGTAGGTAGGTAGGTAGGTAGGTAGGTAGGTAGGTAGGTAGGTAGGTAGGTAGGTAGGTAGGTAGGTAGGTAGGTAGGTAGGTAGGTAGGTAGGTAGGTAGGTAGGTAGGTAGGTAGGTAGGTAGGTAGGTAGGTTACTTAGTTGATCAGCTAGGTGGTTAGTTAGTTAGTTACTCAGTTACTTACCGATTAACTAATTTAGTTTGTTAGTTGATTAGTTAGTTAAATTGTTAATTAGCTAGTGAGTTTGTGTGTTTTATTAATACTTCGAATTTTTCACATAGTTGTATGTAGACTTTGATTTGAGGTGAAGTATAACAGAGGGACCAGCGAATATAGTGTGTAGTCTACTCAGAAGCATAAGTACTCCAAGTTAGTTCTTCTCAAAGCTGAGGTTGCATTGACAAACTTTTCAGTGATTAGCTATATGTCATAGTCTGTTCATTAGAGTTTTACAAGGGAGAGATGTAACTGTTTGAGTCTAACCTAACTACTTGTTTGGTGACTGTTTGTGAGTATGTTGGATTTGATGGTCTAAATTCTCCCTTTAGTCTTCCAACAACCATGCACAATTATGTCAGTAGTTGACATCCTTTGCTTGCATACTGTACATTGCACTGGTTCTGCTTAGTTGGGCTAATCAAAACTGATCTCATCTTCTAATAGGCTAACAACTTTGTTTAAATGTATTGATGGAGACTGTCTTGATCAGATAGTGTATTTCTTGTGTAATGTGGAGGAGATATTTTATGTTTATAGGTTGAGTTACTATTAATGAAGAGGTTTTTTTTCAAAGTTGACGGCCCATTACGTTTAGTGACGTTTGGCTGGATAAGTTTATATAATCCATTAGTTCTTCATTCGGTCATTTCAATGGTAGTAAAAGCTTCCATATATCTGTAATATATATTATGAGTAAACTCTGTCAATTAAAAATGTTGATTCAATGAACAAAGATTTTATGATCAATCTCTCCCTTTAATCAGATAACTATATTGGATTCTAGAATTGTCACACTATCCCACCCACCCTATAGTATGATTATGGGTCAGTGCATACTGAGCAATAGCCAAGTTTTTCTCTATATTACTCACTTTAGTGAGATCTATCATTGCTGGTCTCACTATAATGTTTTGCTTTGTTATTCTGACTTACGCCAAACGCCTACTTTGACCTATATACTTGACATTGAAATCATTGAATAGGTTGGATTATTTTAAGTAATTGGCTCTGCTGCATCTCTCAACCTATAAAGTTTCCCTCAAGACGAATGTATGAGCTTTAATGTCACCCTAATCCCAGCGCTGTTCAGAATTCTACGGAAACCTTCCAACGCACCTTCTTATTACGACAATACTATACAGAGAATTTGAATACCATCTTAGGCATACTACAATCACTACTAACATTACCACTTCCCTCATAAATCCTCACAAACCTTTGAATAAATTCTGGAGATTAGTTATTAAAAAGTAGTGTCTCGTTGATATTTCCTAGTTTCAGTGTTATATGAAATCAATGGTTTGTTGAAAGGGAATACTCTAAATGTTTATATTTAGCCTTTAACAAAAAGGTAACGAAGAATTTCTCCAGAGAGAGAGAGAGAAATGTGTTGATTTTATCAACTCATTAATATTTGTTGCCCTTAAAACAACTCTGATGTCATGTATTCTCCTTGAACTCTCACCTGAATGATATGTAAGTTTTCATTGGTAATCTGTCTCAGAAAGAATTTTTGACTAGATGGACTAACTCCTGAGGTATACAAGAATAGTGATAAGGTGCTCTTAGTCAGGTTAATAGAAGTGTAAACTAGTATATGGGAATCAAAAACGATCCCCTTTGACTGGTCTAAATCATAGATTATTCCAGTCTTCAAAAAAGGTGAGAAATCCTCTTGCGATAACCACAAAGGAATCAGTCTAAAATTATAGGTTCTGTAATTTTCCGACGCCTGAATGGAGCTTGGAAACAGCAAGCCGGAGAAAACCAAGCAGGCTTTAGACTCGGCTGCCGGGGGAAACGACCAAATATTCACACTGCGCTAGATCCTGAACATAGACACGCTTACCGACGCCCGACAATAGCTGTATTTCTCTACCTGTAGGCAGCGTTTGACTCCGTTGATCGAGAAGTTTTATGGAAATCTCTCTCAGTGAAAGGCGTGCCGAGTAACCACATCACCTTATTGAAGGCTGTCTACTCAAACACTTGTGATCGTTTTAGAGCCTATGGTGAGATGTCCGGGGAGCTG